ATTAATACCTCAATGTATATAAAGATGATATTAAAATTGATTTTCTTATCTATACAAATACGTTGGCTTCTTTCGAATGGGCTATAGACATCTTGGGGTATGATATATTTGTTCTTCTCGTTAAATCGCTCCGGATTGAATATATCGGGATTGGGGAAATATTTCGGATCATAGTGTAGGCCAAGCACCGACATGTAAACCGGCGTATCTTTCTCAATTATGAGATTGTGCTTCTTCACTTTATAATTTCGCTTAGCCATGCGATTCAGAAATCCTAGTGACGGATACTTTCTCAAAGTTTCCGACATCACCATATCCAGATATGATAGCGACATGATCTAGTAAAAAAGTATTTTTTTTATATATCGGAGATTTGACAAGTTCAAAAACTTGTTCAGAAATAAAATCGATAGACAAAAGAAGTATTTGATTCGGTAAAAGTGTCACCTATATTTATGTAACGTTTATCACAAAAATTATTCCGACGGAGCAGCGTATTGTAGCAGATATTTGCATACCATGTTGTATGTGACTTCTCCGTCGGAATCGTTGAGCGCCTCGAGTATTTCTTTTCTTAGTGTACTTTGAATTTCAAGTTGCAATGCGAATTCGTACAACGTGAAAGCAATCGGTATTGTGGAACTATCGAAACCACCTGAAAAGAAATTGGCCGCTTGTGCCATGAGATCATCTCCATCGAATTCTAAAATTTAATTAATCTGTTAGAGTTTGAAGACTTTTGATACTTACTACAATTAAATTCGTTTATCGTGATTATTGATCAAACTTGTCGGTTACTCTGATGTTGTTATCGCAAGCCGTTATATTACACATCTTTAATTATTCATTTATATATATACTATGTAAATATAATTATTTTGCTTACTGAAGCCTTCAATCTCTTCATCGCTACTGTTCTTTTTGATCTCGATCAGAATATCGATGAGGTCGAATCTCTTCTCGCCAGATTCCATGCGCCTAGTGATTGTCTCCGAGAAAATTTTGCGCAGAAAGATGGTGGTCTCCTTACCAAACGATTTCAGATTAGCCATACGAGA